CAAGCTCTGAAATTATGTCTCCATGGCAGCAGCGTTTTCCATAGGCAAATCAATTATCAGGCTCATGCAGATGTTTGCAGCTAATTTTTCTCCCTCTGTTCTTTTCCCCCCCATACGTTTAATTTATTAGCCTTCCATGAGGCGTTTTGGCATAGAGAACAAATGCAATCATGTGGCACCAGCTTTCAAATGGAGCGCCTACACTGCACCGTCATTTCGAGATCTCTGGCGTTATTTCGAAATAACAATGCGAGCATCTACACAGCCATTCCGTTATTTCGAAATGGGCGGCTTATTCCGAAATCGGCAAACCTCATTCTATGAGGAATAACGCCTATTCCAAAATAGCTATTTCGAAATAAAGCGTGTGCAGACGCTCCGCTGCTGCTATTTTGAAGTAGCCCCTCCCCCGTGCCTCCTGGGGCTCTAAATCGAAATAGCACGTCTACATTAGGAAAGCCGGCCTCTGACTCATTTTGAGGCTTCCCTGCAGTGTAGATGTGCTGTTTCAATATAGGCTATTTCAGAATAACTATTCTGGAATAGTTTATTTTGGAATAAGTGTGCATTGTAGAGGTACCCAAAGATGTTGTAAGCTGGAGTTTGGAAAGAGCAAAATTACAAAAAGTGTATCCAATAGCGAGTGAAAAAAAATACATGCAGACAGAGAAATCATTGCACTGTGCCAGTGAGTCATTTTACTACAGGGCTGCGTCCAGACTGGCGTGATTTTCCGCAAATGCTTTTAACGGAAAAGTTTTTTCATTAAAAGCATTTGCGGAAAAGAGCATCTAGATTGGCACGGACGTTTTTGCACAAAAGCACTTTTTGCGGAAAAGCGTCCGTGCCAATCTAGACGTGGTTTTGCGCAAGAAAGCTCCGATCGCCATTTTCGCCACCGGGGCTTTTTTGAGCAAAATGGTTCTCGGTTGTCTACACTGGCCCTCTTGCGCAAAAACATTTGCACAAGAGCATAGTATTTCCGCAAGAAGCACTGATTTCAGACAGTAGGAAGTCAGTGTTCTTGCGGAAATTCAAGCGGCCAGTGAAGACAGCTGGCAAGTTTTTCTGCAAAAGCGGCTGTTTTTGCGGAAAAACTTGCCAGTCTAGATGCAGCCAGATGTCCAACACTTTTCCCCAGCCAGGAGATTTGATGCTTATAAATGCGATGCTTATAAATCACTTGGTGTGATACAGACCAAGAAGCAGTCTCATGCCAGCATCTCAACTCTGTAGTAAGCAGATTCCCTGTCCACATGATCAATCTGCAGCTAACCTCCTTTTGCCTGACCTGGCTAACCTGACCTGAGCTCTTAGCTCTTGGGATTTCCTAGTGATAGAGTTGTGAGCAGAATACGCCCCACAAGCTAAAGGGATTTGTCAAAGCTGACCAATGCAAGGTGTTAAGATTAGAAGTAGGGCATTTAAGGCCAAATCCGGCCCTTGGGTGCACTCTATAACAGTGTTTCTCAACCAGTGGTACGAGTCCCCTTAGGGGAACTCGAGAGACATCTGGGGGGGGGGTGGGGGGGGGTAAAGTCAACACAACTGAAATTTGGAGAAAACTGATTTTTTGTTTTAAATTTTCATTATTTTTGTACTTTTTACACCCCAAAATGTCATCACCTGCCTGGTTACAATTAAGTTGTTTAAACAAATGTGTTGCAATGGTAGAAAACATTTTGTGTCTCTGATACTGTAGGTACTGGGGTACTTATAATTTTTTTTAAAAGGGGGTACTTTATAGAAAAAAGGTTGAGAAACACTGCTTTACACTATACCATTGGTCAGGAATGGAAGCCTGCATATGCGCAGAAGCAGAATCTGAGTTGTATTATTTTACACTATTTAAATAGCTATTTCTGTACATCCATTAATGTGACTGCATCTCTCCAAGTAAGGCTGGACTCAACTGGGCATTGAAAGATTGGACTGATACGTATCTTCCTCAAATTTACAGAACAGATTCATAGTGTAAAGCACTCGTTTTCAATTCAATTTGTCATTGTGTTTCTGAACTAAAATAGTTTAAAATGGGACCTTTAAAATAAATATTGTAAGTGAACAATAGAATACACCCCACAAGCTAAAGGGAATGTGTGCACACACGAACACACACACAATTTTATCACTAAAGCCCGATGAGGGACCTTGAATGAATTGAGATAATCAGGTGTTCAGGTAATCAGGGAAAGGTTTCAATGTCATTTTTGACCATTTAGATTAAAGTTTTGGAGCAAACAACTTTCACAAGCCTCATATGGCTGTGTTCATTTGACAATAGGTGTCATTCCACTTACTGCTGCAATGCAGCCACCTCTGGGCCAGATCACATTAGCTGATGTGAATTGCTACTATGAACTGTCCAACAGATTAGGGCGAGAAGTGAAGAAGAATGCCATGTCCCATGAATGCAGCAGGGAATTTTAGATGTGTAAAAGGTAGTTAGACTTTGGTCACAATATTGGGACAAATAACACTTATAATGAAACGAAAACATAGAAACATTTTTAAAGCATACTTTTGGCTCCAGAGACACTTGGTTCTCATCATAGCCATGATCTTTTTCAGTTGGAATTATGAATTTGCTATTTAGAATTCCTTGTTAGATTCTCTCCTGGTGTCAATTGTTGCAGCTCCGCCAACTTCAATGAAGTTGCATCAGTTTCTACCAGTAGTAAGTTTGGTCCTCTGCTTTCTTGTTGTTTCTCACTTGGCTCTGGTCCACAGTAGGGCTTCATTTCTAAATAATGACTCCCCAGAGTAATTCAAACTAATTACTCCCCGGTACTTCCTGGGACTCTAAGCCAAGTTGGCTTGTCCACATTAACGGAGCCTGCCTCGGTCTAATTTTGATGCTACCCCATAGTGAGGGCACGCTATTTTGATTTTGTTATTTCGTGAGTTATTAAATCGACATAAGTAATTTCAAAATAGTTTCCTAGTGTAGACATGCCCTTGGATTTAAACCTGCTGCTTGTCCAGAAAAAAAAACCCATAGGATCTTTAGCAACCAGTAAGGACTAAGGCCACTTAAGACATGGAGAGATGAACTGTTCCCAGAAAACAATTTCTTAATCAAATATATCCTTATTTAATACTGACAAGTTTTTTGTGACCATATCTTAGTTTCCACTGTTGTTCATCAAATGTTTGATGCTATTATAGTTCAGCCTCTGGGTTGTTAGAACATAAGAACATAAGAACGGCCGTACTAGGTCAGACCAAAGCTCCATCTACCCCAGTATCCTGTCTGCCGACAGTGGCCAGCACCAGGTGCCCCAGAGAGGGTGGACCGAAGACAGTGATCAAGCGATTTGTCTCCTGCCATCCCTCTCCAGCCTCTGACAAACAGAGGCCAAGGACACCATTTTATCCCCTGGCTAATAGCCTTTTATGGACCTAACCTCCATGAAATTATCTAGCTTCTCTTTAAACTCTATTATAGTCCTAGCCTTCATGAAATGAAAGCTTGTTCATTTCACGCTTTGCTTTGAGCATTTTATATTAGCAATATGCACACTGAACTTATTGATTTGGGGTGATGGCCACATGTTAATATATTCTGGCCTGATTGGATGAGCAAAGCTCTCAGAGTCAAGTTTTTGCATAAACACTTGGAATTATAAATTCAAAATTCACTTTCTGCCAAACATTGTTCAGTATTCCCTTGGGATTTGTTGTTACTATGGTCTTTCCCGGCCGCAAACTCACGTACTAGGATGTGTGTGGAAAGCAGATGTAATGGGAGACATGAACACAGTAAAAGTGGATTTCATGACTCTGCTTGAAAAATATATCTGTGATTTTTTGCAAAAAGTTCCTCCGTATTTTTATTTGTCTAATTATTGAATTTTACCTTATGTTTGTGTGGAAATTCAAACGGTCAGTTTAAAAAAAGCATGGGCATTTTACGTTTAGAAAAATGTCAGCTAGCACTACCAATTTACACACTTACTCCTTCCGCCACTTAGGAGGGGCTACCTGCCCTCTGCCAGCTCTACGTTTCTATGCTTTCGATTAATTTGTTTACACATTCAAACAGATGTTTGCAAATAATTTTTTCAAAGTTATCACTAGGGTTGCCAGATGGTTTCAACAAAAATACCGGACACATTGGACATGACATCACAATCTACATTACATCTTATTTAGAAAATACATTTCTATTTTCTCATTTCTATTTTCTCGATTTGTTTCCCGAACAGAAAGCACAGATACTGGACTGTCCGGTTCAAAACCGGATACCCGGCAACCCTAGTTGTCACCCTGCTCTGATTAGTAGATGGCTGATTTTAAAGGTGGCACATGGGGGAGCACAGTGGTACCCACACTTCTCCTGGGTGTGATGCACTGGGTGTACCGACACCACTTACAGAAAGAATAACGAGCCTTCTGTACAGCCTTAGCTGCGAGCCAGCCGGCTTTTAGCTCCTGCAGTACCGGCTCATGCCCAGAGATCCCAGCCTTGGTTCCGCCTGTTGGTGTTACGACAGCACCCCCTTAGAATCATGCTGGGTACCGGTTAAATGTTGGCTTAGAAGCGTGTGAACTTCTGAATAATGAGCACCATTCTCTGTACTACCTGAAGCACCCATCCAGAGATTGTATAAGCTGTTGAGAATGGACAAGATCCCTGTCCAGATTGTGTGGCTCCCTGACGATCACATACAAGTATACTCAGTGCAGGCTGTATAGGAGAAGGACTCTGATAAGAACAAAGTTGTATTTTCAGGAAAGCCCTATCTCGACCATCACCAGTGCTGCAGCCTCTGGCCTCATGCTACCTTCTTGGGCAAAGGCTTGGGAAAAGTTTTCTGTTAAAAGCATTTTCGGAAAAGTGCACCTAGATTGGCAGGATGCTTTTCTGCAAAAGCACTTTTTCCGGAAAAGAGTCCGTGGCCAATCTAGACGCGCTTTTCTGCAAAAAAGCCCCGATCGTCATTTTTGCGATCGGGGCTTTTTTACGGAAAACAGTACTGTGCTGTCTACACTGACCCTTTTCCAGAACAGTTTTCCGGAAAGAGACTTTTGCCCAAATGGGAGCAGCATAGTTTTTCCGGAAAAGCACTGATGATTTTACATTAGATCGTTAGTGCTTTTCCGGAAATTTAAGCGGCCACTGTAGACAGTTGGCAAGTTTTTCCGGAAAAGCGGCTGATTTTCTGGAAAAACTTTCCAGTGTAGACACAGCCGTAGGGTATGTCTAGACTGCATCCCTCTGTCGGCAGAAGGATGCAGATTAGGCAGGTCGACATTGCAAATGAGGCAGGGATTTAAATATCCTCCCGTGCCTAATTTGCATAAAAATGGCCACCGCATTTTGCTGACTCAGCAATTTGTCATCAAAAAGCAGCAGTCTAGAGGGGGTTCTGTCGAGAAAGAAAGCCTTTCTCGACAGAACCCTTATGCCTCCTGCAAGGCCATTTTTATGCAAATTAGGCATGTGATATTTAAATCCCTGCCTCATTTGCAATGTCGACCTGCCTAATCTGCATCCCTCTGTCGACAGAAGGATGCAGTCTAGACATACCCGTAACTTTTTGGGCTCCCTGGCATAGGCAATGGGACGTGGAAGGAAAAAGACACAAGAGTAGAAGGGAGAAAGTAGCGAAGCCTCTCCAAGCCACTTGTATATTTACAGGGGCTCAGGCAATTCTAGTGAATTTCACCTGGAGAAGTCAGGTGGGAAGAGAAACCCACGATCATATTGCTGCTCCCAGAACCTGTCCCGATTTGCCAGGAGGGTACTATGACTGAAGACGGGTTGGTTGTCCTGACGTGTGACGACTCTTTAAGTGATCTGCGTCCTTGGAGGCTACACATGGCCGTTGTGGATAGCCACCAGGGGAAACCTGCCAAAGCTGTGACACTTTTTCCACCGCCTGACATGAACTCTGGTGCACAAGTCGGGGGGCTTTGTCAGAGCAGAGCTAATCCTTGCTCGCTAGGCAGCTCTCTGAGCCCTAATGGGATTTGCCCGTCTTTAGCACTTAGCTGGCTTACTTCACCATGCCATGCGGAGCAGGCTATAAAAAGCCGCATGGAGACCTCTCTCGCTGAGCGGGCAGGTGGTACTGTCTGGCGTTCAGGAATTTTCGCAGGGGAAAAGGAGAGCCAGGCAGGGGCCTTTGTAGCTCCTGGAGTAGCTTTCTGTTGGAGGGACTGGAAGGCTCAGGAGAGTGTTAAGGGGATGCAGGGCCTGGTGTTACTGGCTCAGCCTGGACCTGGGTGTGTCATGACCTAAGCTGTTACCACCCCGCATCACAATAACCAGCTAGCGCATGAATAGAAAAGAGCTTTCCTGGTGGAAACCTTCCCCTACTAGCCATGAGAGCAACGGAACGTCCCCGACCCACTTCCCCTCTGAGACCCTGGAAGGGAGCGAATGCCTCTGAAACAAACAGTGCAGTATGTACCCCTCTAGGGACAGGTTCCCCCGCCACACTGGATAGGAGCTAACCGCTGCTGCCAGCCAGTGGAGTTACCCTCAAGTCTTGGGCCCGGAAGGCTCAGGGTTCAGGCATTGCTGCGGATCCAGGCGGGGGGAGAAGGATCCACATGTTGAGTGAGGGACAACCAGCGTATTCGCTAAAATGATCGATGCTCTGTTTTGTTTCCTTTCCGTAGGGCTGCCCGCCTTGGTGGTTGCCATTTCCGTGGGATTTACGAAAGCCAAGGGCTACGGCACCGTGAACTAGTGAGTACCAGGCCGGCTCTTCCATAGTCTTCCTTTTCTACCCACCATCCCTTTCTCCAAGCAGGAGCTCCCTCGCGGGGCACCTGTCGGAAGCGCGACCTTTAAGGTACCCGTCACACCAACTGCGGTGTGCACTATGGGGACGGTGAGAAAGGAAGCAGCCTTCACACTGCTTCATCACGTCAACCTGTTGTGTCACCTGTTGGGGTCTGGAGCTTGTGTGACTTCTTTGTTCTCCCCCGGGAGGCTATGGGAGACTGTTGGAAGGAAAGGGCCGGAGAGGGGACAGGCGGATCTAGGACCCTGCTAAAGGTGTAGGTCAGAGCCTGAGTCCTGCTGTGACCGGGGAAAGCTGTGGACCAGGAGTCCTTGCGGGCCTGGGAACCGGAGATGCAGTCAGGACTGGCTTGTGACAGGGATCCCGCGCCAGCTTACATGGGCAACTAATTTTTTCACAAAATGTTCTCGAAGATTCCCGCCGATTCATTTGGCCCCTGAAGTGTCATGATTTCCCCTTCCACGTTTTGGGCCACATGTTGTTTATTCGCTTGGAAATGGGCAAAATCGCCTGCTCGCCAAGCCTGGCGTGGGCACCGCAGCACACCTCCCCTTCCAGATGTGCTCTGGAGACTAGGAGAGCAGGGAAAACGGCCTAATGCAACGGAGAGGGGAGAATAAGGGGGAATAGCCCAGGCGGAATCACTCTGCTTAGTGCACGGAGGATGGTGTAGCAGTCAGAGGGCGTCCAAAGGAAGGGGGCCATTGCCATATAGACACATTGCACCCCGAGGACAGCAACTGCAGCAGCGATACGCCCGTCTGCTCCCCACCCTCGTCCCACCCTGTCCCCAAAGCCCTCGCGATCCTGTGCCCTCAGGGAGAGATGCTGGAGATCCAGCCAGCAGAAGCAGCGCCAGAGGGGCCTGCCGAGCTCCGGTGCATCCGCGTGGGGAAGTTGGCGTGTGCAGCCACCGCCGGGGCAGGGGGAGCGGCCATATTCTGAGACACATTGCCTGGTCCTCCAGGGTGCTGTGCCCTGGGTAGCACAGGGCGTCCAAAGTGAGGGCAAAGTGCAGCTCCCTCACGGGGTTTGAGGTGCGGGGCTGAGCTGTCCCGTCCATAGGACGCGAGCTCCGGTGCATCCGCGTGGGGAAGTTGGCGTGTGCAGCCACCGCCGGGGCAGGGGGAGCGGCCATATTCTGAGACACATTGCCTGGTCCTCCAGGGTGCTGTGCCCTGGGTAGCACAGGGCGTCCAAAGTGAGGGCAAAGTGCAGCTCCCTCACGGGGTTTGAGGTGCGGGGCTGAGCTGTCCCGTCCATAGGACGGTTTGGCCCCCCCCACACACACACGCTGGTCCCAGCAGTGGGAGCTGGAGAGACCCAGCAGCCTGCTCCTCTCCACCCCATTTCCCTCTCCCAGCCCCACAGCAGCGGGGATGGGGTGGGAGTGGAGCACAGACGGGGTGGGTGGGGTCTATGGTGGGGAGGGGTGTTGCCCCAGTCCCTGCACCCTCCTCGGGTCGGCCCCATGCAGGGCCACGGGGAAGCAGGCCCTGGAAATGAAGGGGTTATAAGACGCAGTCTCTGACATTTGTGTCAGAATTGTTTCGCCAGACCTGCACGCCCCACCCCACCCCCCGCCTCTGCTCAGCATCTGCTGCTGCCTGGAGTGCAGGGAATG